TTTCAAGTCACACACACAGCCTTAAAACCAGTGCAGTGAACCAATGGGAGCCTTCTGATGTCATAATGGCCTTTACCTCTGCACTTTTCTCTAGAGGGGCTTTAACATGAGGCTGCTGAAAAAATGAGTAGAAATGGTGGAGGAGCTTCTTGAGTGCGTGGGTAACAGGGTGAGGCTGAAGAGGGGAAGAGGAAGGAATTGAAGGTTGGGAGAGAAAGTGCAAGAGAGAGGGTGAGATATAGAGATTAAAGAAAGAGAGAAAAGCGAGATTGCTGGAGGAAAGCAGCTCCTATCTAGCAAAGATTATGTTTTTGATTAAGAGCAAGTCTCTCAGTGAGTCGAGTCATGAGTGCTCTGGAGAAAATGCAATTTTTGTACTGTGCAAGATCCTCGGAGAGGGGACATATCAAACCTCGATATCGACCCGAACACAATCCATGACCCAGCATTCATAACTCACAACTCCATCTAAAATTAGACACATAGTTAGATGGGTTATGGAGAATTCAAATCTAGGTTTGAATGGTTTTTATACAGCAGTTCGATAAATAAAAAGTTCATATTGAGTAAATAACATTTAAAAAAACAAAATGGCCAATTCAGTGCATAGTGAAAGATGTAGTGGCTTAAAGGTTGTTGATTATGTCCTGTATGGGGACGAATCTTAACCAGCATCAGTTTGATAAATATTAGAACCTCATTGAATAAGAAATATTGGGATACAGATATCGATATATTTATAGCTAGCTACCCGAATAATAGCATGTCCAATTTAATGGCACAGACATCTGAAGCTAAAGTAAATATTGTCCTAAGACAATTGAGACCGCAAAGTCATCTTTCCTTAAGAGCTTTCAGCTGAAATTTATTTCAAAATTTTGAGTGTTATTAAAGGAAGACTTACTTTCACAGCATGCATTCCATTTCATTTAATCCCCCTGTAGTTGATGACGCAATTAAACAGAAAAGCAGAGGTGTAAAGTATTGGAGTAAATGTAATTAGTTACTGTACTTGAGTATCTTTTAGGGTACTTTGTAGTTGTACTGAATATCAAAGATATTAGCAACTTTTACTCTCTACTTCACTACATTTTTGAATGAGTATCTGTACTCTTTACTCCACTACATTTGAAATGAGTGTTGCAGTTACACACTACATTTTGCATGGACCTAGCTTTTTCTGCAGCAGTTTATTTCTAATGTAGCGTGCCGAACCGTGCGTGAACGACGGAGCAGGAGTCAGATTTTATTTATCACGTGAGGAGAGTGAGTCGAGCTGACTGACAAGAGTGAGGTGAGAAAGACTCACTCTTGGCAGATGGCAGAAGATTGTATAGAAAGGAAATGCAAAGGCGCCTGTTTGGCAATATTTTAGATTTTGAAAAGCCTATTGACTGGAAGTTTTTTTAAACATTCATTTCTTATTCATTTGGTTCCACGGTGTTTGCTGATTACTTTATTTATACTTTGTGTATTTTATTTATTTTATTTTGCATCAAGGTGTATATGCCGTGCCTTCAAGCTTTCTTATTCGTTTTGCTAATAAACGTTCTATGTTTCTTATTTATTT